TAGCTAAGGTGTCCTGGATGAACATTCCTGGCAGCCACGGACACCTGTGAGGCAGGAAGTGGAGATGCCAAGAGCCAGGCCCGAGCTTGACTCCCTGCCAGCTTCGCCTCCGTGGAGGCTGCTGTTGGCACATGCATCCTGTCCTCTGCTGGGAGAAGTAACAGCAGAGGCTGCTTCCTTGGAAAACAAAAAACCCTGGCTGCTTCCCTGTCCGTGGCACCAAATAAGGTGGCTTCACGTCTGCTCTCCATTTGGAGAGGCAGCAAGTCTCTCTCCCTCTTTACACATCAAGTGGACAGTCTTGTTGTTACTTGTCTCTCCCACACGGGGAAAGGGTGAGAGGAGGCAGTGCCTTCTGCTCAGCTAGAAGAAGCTAGAGGTGGGATTTGAACCCAGTCTCCTCACCCTGCTCTTTCCCCTCGGAGCATCAGGTAGCACAGAAGGTGTCCTTGGCCTGACCCTGTGTTGAGTACTTGAAATATAAAGACAGGCAGCTTGGGGGGGGCGGTGGGGGCCAACCACCTGGGCCTCAGAGGCAGCAAGGAGGTGGGGAGTAGCTCAGTCTGACTGGCCTCTGATCCTGCCCCTGGCATTTCCCAGCTGGGTAACTAAACCAGGCACTCAATTCCTCTGAGCCTGTTTCTTTGCCTGGAAAAGGAGCAAATGACAGGACCACTTGACAGGGTTTTATGAAGATTAAATGAGGTAATACAAGGAAAGTGCTTAGTCTAGTCCCAGGCAAAGCGCCAGGGCTCAGTAGGTATTGACTGAGAAGCCCCAAACTTCTGAGAGGGGGCTCTCTCCCTCCTTTTGGCTCTGTGGTCCAGTGCTCAGCAGTGAAAAAGAAAGGTGTGTGTGTGGTGGGGGGAGGCATGAAAGCACGCACACATGCACACACATGCCCACATGCTCTGTACACAAAAATTCTGAAGAATCACAAAGCAATTCTAACCATGTCTTTCTATGGGGTGAGATTATGGCGGGGGGTACTTTTAACTTATGTAGCTCTGTTGATTATGTTAATTTTGGAGTCAGAAACAATAAAGATACTTAAAAATTGTGTGCGACTCAGTGCCAGGCACGGTATCAGGCACTTTTGATACCATAACCCTGACCCTTAGAACATCCTTCCCGGGGAGGTCATATTATCCCCATGTTATAGATAAGCAGGTGGAGGCTTGGTGTAGTGAAGTGACCTGACCAAGGACACACAGCTCATCAGCGATGATGCCAGGATCTGACCCCAGTATTGGAATCAAGTTCAAAGCAATTCCGCCTGGCAGGTCAGGGAAAGCTTCCTGGAGAAGGTGATAATTGAGCTGAGCCTGGAAAGCGGTTTAGAGCTTCTTTAGGACAAGGGTCTCAACCAGGGGTGACTCTGACCCCAGGGGACATGGGATGAAGACTGGAGATGTTTTGGGTTGTCACAGCTTGGTGGGATGGGAGGGGTGAGAGGGTGGGGGATTGAGAGGGGGTGGTGGGAAATGCTGCTGGTTAGTTTTTAGGGGCCAGGGATACTCCTAAACATTCTAGAATGCACAAGACTGCCTTGCACACCAATGTCAATAGGGCACAGTATGATATCATTCTAGAACTGTCATTTACTGAGTGCTTACGAGGTGCTAAGGGCAGTACTGAGTCCTTGCAAATGTCATCTTATTTCATCCACCCCCACTGCCGTCAGTGAGGGACTCGAAGCTCAGAGACAGAAGTGATTCTTCTAAGGCCACAGCGCCAAGAAGTGGCAGCTCTGGGATTGAAGCTGCCCAGTACGAAGTGCGAGTTCTTCACCTTTCTGCTCTGCTGCCTTCAGGATTTATAATAAGTCTAAAAGCTGCAGGCCAAGCGCTAGGTGGGAAGGGAGGAGACTCTAGCTGAGCCCAGGCACAGCCCTCCCCTGGCCTCAGGCCTGGGGCAAGGTCCGCTTAGTCCTCCTCTACCATTGCCCCACCTGTCAAGTGAGGGTTTTACCAGATGATCTCCAAGGCTCTGCCAGCTCTGAGTCTGTTATTCTCCCAGAGAGGGGCCCAAGCCCAGGCTCTCGCAGCCCTGGGGACAGAACCACCAGCAGCCAGGAGAGAAGGGGGTGTGCCGGGCAGGCTCAGCCTCATTCCCAGTGCATGCATAGTTAGCGAGCCCTGCTCCATTGATTATGTTACCCCACAAGGAGAGAGAGGCAGGTGCAGTGGGTAGTGGCTTGAACCTCTCCCAGGAGCTCCCCTCTTGAATGCGGAAGGCATGTTTCTCTGCCACCTTCTTGCCAAGCCCAGAGGAGGCGCCAGAGCAAGGCCTCCTCTCAGGCAAGAGAGGCAGGTCTGGGCATTCGCCCAGCTGGGCGCATGAGGTCTCACAGGTAGAAGGACAAGGGATGGGAGTGCGTGCTGACCCAGCCCCTTCCCTGTGCCAAGCATCTCAAACAGCAGGTTCATCTCAGGTCAGTCTCCTGAAATCCTGGTAGGAAAGAACCATTTTGACCCCAGCCTACAGACCAGAGAGCATCAAGGCTTCCCTGAAGGGACTTGGTGAGTCACACAGACAGGAAGGTCTGGAACCCAAGAGTACCTGACTGCAGGATACTGCCCTAGAGGGTAGGTAGGTGGCCATCTTGTTCTTTTCACCGAGGAGTAGAAGTGTGTCAATAACATTTAGAGAAAATACACATTTAATTCCTCCAGCATTCCCCCAGGACGTGGAATGGATTGCAAAGAACTGAAACACAAGTGTTCTGATTTCCCGGTTTGCAGCAGGGGAACCCAGGCTCAGAAGGCAGAGGCCTCTCTAGCTAGAAGGTCAGACAGGGAGAGGAGGGGAGGGGCTAAGTGGCAGAGGAGGGATATGGCCTGGGGTAGGTGGAGCTTCTTGGTGCTCTCATAGTCGCTTAGTGTGGCTTTGGGGGAGTCATTTCACCTCTCCGGTTCTCAGTCATCTATATTAAGAAGAGGTTGGACAGATGGTTGCAGACAGAGTCCCTTCAAAGCCTCACAACCTGCACCCAGCCATGTCAAAGGTTCTCCCCTCCCTATTTATGTGACTTCACAAATAGAGAGATGGGGATACCAGAGCTTGCCACAAAATGCTCTGGGGATGGAGGGCCCATGCCAGCCTGTGCAAGCTCCCAGAGCCCCCAATTCTTGCTCCCTATCCTCAAAAAGCCAGACTGGGAGTGAGTCAGTCATGGTTTGGGGATGAATGGGGCAGGGAGGGAGAGATGGTGAACATGGGGTCATTTCTCCTGGGCCATGGGTCATCCACAGGCATCTGCTAAGTGCAGGCTGACTCGCAGAGACTCAGGGTGGGGGGCGGGGGGAGGATACCTCTTACAACATAAGGGAAAGTAGTTATTTTAGCTCCTGCTTAAGCGTCCCAAGGGCCAGGGAGCTCCCTCCCTGCCAAATTAGTCCACTGCATATTCAAAAAATGAGTGAAAAATCTGCTTCCAAAGGCTCCACAGTCTGGGCCAGCTCAGGCCAGAATTGGTCCTTCACTCATTCATTATTCAAACTTTACTGATGAGTACGGATATGCCAGGCTTTAGGGCCATAGACACGATGAATCAGAGACTGTTTCTGCTCTTTGGGAACTGTGTGCTAGACTGATATCCCCAGGCCAAAGACACAGGACTGGTGGATTGAAATGGTTTAGGTGGAGGAAAAGATTCTAGACTTCCACGTTGAAATAAGCTTGGGTGCCATTTGCGTAAACACATTAAACGGATCTCTTTGCCACAAGATTTCTCCAAACTTTTAATATGTAAAATGTACATGCAGAATCCTCCAAGGGGCTATCGAGAATATGCTCTTATTTCCCCAATATAGCTGATCTTGGAATACTACTTTTTAGAACAGCATACTTATTAACAGAGGATATTTGAGGAAATGCAGCTCTAATGCTTCCCCCCCCCCTTTTTTGGCCAGGGCAGATTGGGGAATGCTTACACCCGGAGGACATTTGAGCAGGGCTTTGAGAACTGAGTAGGAGTTGGTCAGTGAAGATGGGAAGGTTTAAAGGAGATCATTTATAGTCCTAGGTTCACTATGCTCAGGTTACCCTGCATATACTGTTTCATTTAGTCTTCAAAGGTCTTGAGAAGGGTAACAGAGCCAAGGAGGTCATTGAAAGCCTCTGGAAACTCCCAGAGATCCACCCCCTCCCTTTTCTTGAATCACCTCACCTCAGGGCCTTTATTCTCCAAATCTTGAATCTTAAGTCCTGTTCCCACAGTCATCCTGGCCTCTCCTCTGGTTTAAACCCAAAATAGTTCTTAGGGTACCTGGACTTGATCCTCCCTTTAACCCGTCACACACCCTGGCCTACCTAGGCCTTGGCACCCAAACTCAGGCTCTCTGCAGTTTGGATGGCCATAACTTAGACTCTCTCAGATTTCACCCTGGCCTGCCCCCACGAAATCTAGCCCTGCTACTGTTCCCTAGGTCCTGATGCACGGCTGATTGAGTCCCGCCTCATGGGCCCCAAGCCTGCCCGTCAGCGACTCCAGTCCTGACCTATTCCCCGACGGCGGCCCCGCCCCCTGTGTAGCCCTGATTGTGTTCCCCTCTTCCCATGAGTGTTTTGCCGCAACTCTGTCCTGAACCGTTCATTTGTGGACCCTGCCTCCAGGTCCAGGCCCCTGACCCCAGACAGTGGCCCTCCAGCTCTGATTCGTGCCTGTCCCCGACCCTGCCCCAAGCCCATACCTGGGCCATCTCTGATCTCACTGGTGCCGGCCGTGTCACTCCATGGGTGACCCCTCCCCAAGGACTCACCCCTACTACGGGTCCGTCTCCAACTCGGCCAGGTGCTGAGGGCCGTAGGCCCAGCCCCAGAACCCCGCCCTCTCGCCGCGGCCACGCCCCGTCCCTGTCCCGTACGAATTCTGATAGGGCCCTGACCCTGCCGGCGGCCCCGCCCCGTGGCAATTCTGACTTGGCCCAGCCCACGGTTCCGCTCTGACCCCGCCCCCGGCCCCGCCCCCGGCGGGCCCTGCCAGCCCGGCAGCTCACCTGCAACTCCTCGAAGGCATCGTCGATGCCGGTGACCTGGTGCTGCTCATGCAGCGCGGGCTCATCGCAGAAGAAGCAGAGCAGCGCGCGGTCCGTGAGGCAGAAGAGCTTGACCTTGTCGTGCGCCTGGCAGGGTCGCGCGGCGCGGCGCGCGTTGAGGATGGCGTCCAGCGGGAAGGCGCTGTAGCGCTCCACGATGTTGGCTAGCTTGAGGCTGGGCGCGAGCGCGGGCTCGGCGAACGTGCGCCGGCACTCGGGGCAGTCGCGGGCGCCCTGCGCCTCCTGCCTCACCCAGTGCTCTGTGATGCAGCGGCGGCAGAAGTAGTGCTCGCAGCCCAGGCTCACCGGGTCCTGGTAGATGCTCAGACAGATGGAGCAGAGCAGCTCGTCCTTGAGGCTGCACGCCATGGCGCTGGGGGCGGCGAGAGGGGGCCCTGAGATGTAGGGGGGAGGCTGAGCGAGCGCGGCGCTGTTGGGGGCCGCAACCGAGAGATGTGTTCGGGGAGCAGACGGGGAGAGGCAGGAGTAAGAGCTACAGAAGGAAGGCGGGGGGGCTATCCGGGAGGGAAGGGGGGAACGCGAGGAAGAGGTGCAGGGCAGAGACTAGCCGGGATGCGAGTCCAAGAAGGTGGTCTCTAGGTAGTGGGTGACTCGAAGCAATGGGTGCTGGAGGGAGGGGGCCCTGGTGTCTGAGGGAAGGGGCTCCAGGCAAGGAGCTTCTAGAGGAAGGGACAGTCTGAAGGGATGGGTACTGGGAGAAGAGGATCCAGGAGGGGGGCGGAGGCCTTAGGGGAGCTGAAATCCCGGGATGGGTGCAGTGGGGGGAGGGGGAGAAGCTGGGGATGGGGAATTCTGGGGAAGGGGAAAGCCAAGCGGAGCTGCGCAGCGGCTGTGCGTGGCAGAGGAGGGGTGCGAGCAAGCTCAGCTGCCTAATCTCGGCCCCAAGACCCCGCCCGACGTGGCCCCTTACCCCTGCCGGCTCAGCGGCCACTGCTTCAGTCCGAGCGCAGCCTCTCAACCCGGAACCAGCCGAGCGCAAGCTCTCGGCGGCAGTGACTCCCTCCCCGCCCCCGCGGGCCGGGCCCAGGCGACTCCGCCCCTGCGGCGGGCGGGGGAGAGGAGAGGCGGGGCCAGGCCTCCAGCCTGCGGACCCCCTCGCCGCCCCCACCGTTCCCCTACTCCCCGGGGATCGAAACCCCAGCTGTTCCTTCAGGATCTGCACACAGAACAACATGAACGTCTCGCTTAGGGTCCCTGTGGCGGGTGAGGACAGCTAATTTCAGAGGATAACGAGTAAACAAGGAGCATCTTTCTGGATCATCGACGTGAAGATTTGGGAAAATAGTATTTTTTGTTAAAACAAGCAAGGATGCGTGCTGTAATCTGTATAGAATACAGCCTTTGCATAAAAATGCAAAGATAGACTCGAGAAAATACCCTGCTTGCTTACAGCAAGTTCAGGGTTTCCTTTTCACTTTCTTAAGGAGTGCTTGGGGGGAGAAGTTTAGAAAGCCCTGTCTGACCCAAGGAGTAGCCTCTATTCAGCAAACATTTCGGAGTGCTATTTTGTGTGTGTGTGGGGGGGCGGGTTGGAAGGTTGGAGCAGGAGAGAAGGAGAGAGTAATAGGAGACCTTATCTCGTATGCCAGATGGAGAGGGGATAAGGGATTTCTAGATGGAGGGGACAGCCGGTGCAAAAGCACAGAGGCGTGAAAGGGGAGGGCACTTTGAGGGTAGTGAAAGTAGTTCTGTACTGTTGGGGGTGGGGTGGGGAAGGCTTGGAGAGGAGGGTATTGTGGGTCGCCGTAAAGGATTTCCGGGAGGCACTGGACTTTCAAGCGGAAAAATGACTTGGTCTGGTGTGGGTTTTAGGGAGTCAGGGAGATGCTCATTATACCATCAGCAAGGTAAAGGCAGGAATCCTTTCTGATACGTTTGCATATGGGCAGTGCTTGGTACACATTAAACTGTGTACTGAGTAACAGCAGCAAAGCTGTAGACCTGGGAAGAGAGACTTAGATCACTGTTGTCAGAGACATTGAACGTGTCTCCCCAGTTTCTGCCTTCTCCAGACATGTCTTCACTGGGGTTAGACTTTTTTAGGGTACAATTTAAGAAACAGTTCAAAGTTCACTTCTCTGCTGTTTACTTCCCCTTCACATCATCACCTGGTCCCCTGCCACCGTGATCGCCAGAAACAAGTTGGTAACTCATGCCACAACCATTCTTCCACTTTTCCTTGCAGTCAGAGCCTGATTTTGTTCAGGTGGGTCCCTTCCCCATGTGACCAACAGAATGTTGACCCCAGCCCAGTCTAGGAGTTCAAGTCCATGGTGAAGTTCTAGGAGTTCAAGTCCCTTTTGGTTCAAGTCCATGGTGTTGGATGCATTCTTCTTGCCAGTGAGAGTTTGGGCTTGGACATGTGATACAGGTCTGGCCTGAAAAAACAGAGGTCAAGCCTCTGGTGGGGAAGCAACTTCTGCTAAAGATCTCTTCCCTTTCCCAAACTCTGGCCCCTTTCCTGATTGGGATGTATTTGGTGGTGATGGTTGGAACTGCAGCAGCTAACTTGCTCCCAGTCTTAGGAAGCTGCCAGCACATGACTGAGACTGCGAGAGAGAGTCGTAGGCAAAAAGGGCTGGTGCTTTGACGCAGAGTCCAGAATTTGGATATATGACGTGGCCCACCTTATTGCTTAAGCAAGTTTAATAGCACTGTGCTGTCACTTGGCAACCAAAAGAATCCCAAATAACACACTGATTTGCATCCCCAATATATTTTTTTTTGTAAGGAGAGGAAGGTCTAAATTATTTAAGGATTTGAAGCGAAATGGAAAAAGGCTTGATGATGGATGGACGGGCTTCATTTGTTCAACATGTCATCTATCCTCCCATTCTATAGCAATACAGTAGCCGGCCAAATGGCTGGTCTGCTGGAGATCACACTTCCTAGGTGCTCTTGTTACTGAATGTGGCTTTGTGACTAAGTCCCTTCTAATAGAACGTAAATAGAAACAGTCCTTAAGGCATGGGGCTTTTGCTCTGCCATGCTCCATTTCCTCTTCCCTCAAGCTGGAACACAGATGTGGCAGGGACCAAGCTTCAATAATGCTTCAAAGGGGCTGACAGAGCAAAGATAAGGAGGGGACCTGAGCTCTGAATGACGACTTGGAGTGGAATCACATGGACTAGAGAAAGAGAAATAAATGTCCATTTTCGGTAAGTCATTGTATTTTGGGTCTCTTTCTTGCAGCAGCTTGGTGTGCCCCATGCCATCTCACGGCTGTTTTTAGAAGAAGCTCCGTTACTGTTAAGCTCTTGTCTGAATCCTTTCAAATAGCTGGGCTCCCCTTGCTCTGTAGCCCCAGCCCCTTCCCAAGTGTATGGAATATGGTTTTCTCTGGCTGTAAGTCAGTCTCTTGACCTTTTGCTGTGTTTTCTGCTTTTAGTCTCGGTCCTTTGGCTGACCTTACTTACACCATCTCAGTTAAATGTGGAACACGACACGCACTCAGACTGCGGGTGATAGTTAAGTTTGGCAAGCCGTTGCTCTTTCTGGATCATTGCTTCCCCACCTTGATGTGGTCAAGGGGTCTGAAATGAGACTGGGAGGTCCTGACCACAGTGCATCCCGACTGCTTCCATCCATACTCTAAAATATAACTTCAGGATTTTTTTTTTTTTTTGAAAACTATCCAAGAGATCTTATTGGATGGAAAACACACACACACAGACACTCGGACACAGACACACAGTCACAATATGCACACAGGCATTCTCTGCCTAGCGGAGATCTGCAGAACTCTATAGCAGTTCCGATAGTGTTTTATCTGAGTGTGTATCTAGGATTATGGAGGGGACTGCATCTTTTACATTATTATTTAATTTTATAATCAGAAAAAATAAAGACAGTCAAATGTCCTTATTCATGGATTCCGTGTTTGCAAATGCACCTACTTGAAAAAGTTTTTTTCTCTTTAGAGAGGGGGAGAGGGGGAGGTGTAGAGGGAGAGGAAAAGAGAGAAGCTTACGCAGTCTCCCCACCCAGTTTGGAGCCAGACGTGGGGCTCGAAATCACAATCCTGAGATCATGGACCTGAACCGTAACCAAGAGTGTGATGCTTAACCCACTGAGCCACCCAGGCGCCCTTCAGCTACTTGTAAATTGATTGTAACCCCAAATCGATCCTTGAGGAACTTCTGCAGTCGCCCAGGGACCCATGCCTGCACGGAGTCGTGAGGATTTAGAGTTGACTGATGTGCGTGTTCCCAGCTGAGGTCCAACGAGGCAACGCTCTTGTAAACAAGTGTCATACCGTAAACAAGTGTCTTTTTCACAGTCTGTTCAATGCCACGTTTTTCTTGTTTGGGGGCTTTTTGCTGGTGATGTTGCTATTTAAACGGGCCCCCAAGGGTAGCATGGAAGAGCGGTCCAGTTTCTGAGCGCAGGGGGGTTGGGATGAGCCTCAGGGAGAAAACCCGTGAGGTCGATGAGCGAGACTTGCGGTGTTCTTGGCGTGACTTACGGTGCTCTTGGCCGTGAGTTTAATGCTGATGAATCAACAATATATATTAGCTAAGGGGTCTTTAAACAGAAACTCACGTAAAACAAGGTTATGTATTGATTGGTTGATGAAAGTGTGGCCAGAGGCTCACAGGAACACTGTATTTCTTCAAGGGGCAGTGATTCAGGATTTCCTATTTCAGTCTTTGTGGCACCTCTATAGAACACAGCTGCTGTGAGTAACAAGTGGACTGTATTTAAAATTGCTGTTGTATCCAACTGCATCCACTACTACAAGGTACCCACGGCCATGTCCCTCTCCATCCAGGGTCCACAGGCTCAGGTTTGCTCGGAAGGGGAGGGGCAGGAAGGAGTACTAAGCCCGTGCTGTGTACCAGGCACTGTGCTAGATGCTACATGACGTGGTTTTACTTAATCCACACGACCACCCTCCAGACTTGCTGTTTTTCTCCCCACGTGCAGATCAGGACTCTGTAGTTTGGAAGGTGAATGACTCACCTGGCATCAGACCAAGGAGGAGGCAGAGGCTTCCCCACCCTGAGCTGCTGGAGAAGATTGTGCCGTGGGCAGCTTGGAGCTGGGCCAGATCCATCCAATGGTCTCTCTCCCTCCGCATTCCAAACCTTTGCCTGTCTCCTCAAGCCCCATGGACACACCCCTGTTCCTTTCTCGGTGGGGGACTTGCCTCCTACTCCATGAAGAAAAGAGACTCCCTCCCCTCTCGGGGGGGGGGGACTTCTTAACTTCCAGTCCCCTTCAACCTATCAACTTTGCTATAGAAAGACCTCAAGTCCTTTGTGAAATGAGGCAGAGTGTAATATAAACAAATGGAGGAAGTCAGTGCATTTATAACTTTATCCATCCTCACTTCCTTTCCCGGAGCCCGAGGGTGAAGTGTGCCTTCTGCCCAGAATGAATTCCTCCACCTGGGCCCTGGTCTAATCCCCTCAGACCTCTTCTGGGACCCATGTCCTTCGGTGGTCCCCCTCTCCACTGTCTTTGTTTCTCCTCTCTCAGCATTGGCTCCTTCCCCTCAGCCTGCGAGTGTGCTCACGCTTCTGCAAACAGCCCCTCTCCTCTGGCTCCCCCCCTCATTTCTTGCCTTTCCCCACCCCAGCCTTTTGAAAGCGTGCCTTACCCACCCTCCCTGTGGCTCATCAACCCCGGCAGGCTGGCTCTGCTCCCTGCCACTCACTGGAGTCACTAATAATCTCCTAATTGCCAATTAAAGAGAGCTGCTAATACACAGTCACTGCGGCAGAAAAACAAAATACAGAAAAAAAAATTAAAA